CAGCAGCATGTGCCAGCCCTTCCGCGGGATCAGGATGGTGCTGCAAGAGGCACAACCAGCACCCCTGAGCCCCAGCCCGGCCCCAGCCGGGCAGTTATTGGCAGCATGTGAGAGCCACAGCTCCTGCCCACACAAACCCTGCCCACACAAACCCTGCCCACGGAAAAGCTGCCCACACACCCCTGTCCACACACCCCTGCCCACACACCCCTGCCCACGCAAACCCTGCCCACGCAAACCCTGCCTCTGCTGCTCCAGAGGGATGCTCTGACACAGCCTGGCCCTGTTTATCTAAGTACTTGTTGAGTCTTCTATGTTATAACCATGACTGGCTCCCTCCCACTGGGTGACAGTTAGACAGGGACTGACAGGGGCTTTAACTGTTAATGCTGGTTCCACTTCTCCTCGAGTGACTGGCTTGGCCTGATGTACATCTCATTAAGCACAGGTAAGTATTTGATACAATAATTACTGTTGGGTTCTTCCATACAGGTAATAGCTTGATGGGGACTGATAGCGTGGTTTGGCTTTTTGTCAGTGCTTGTTCCACCAAGGAACCATCTGGCCTTACATGCATCTCATCAAGAGCTTGGTTAGTGGTAAATATAATAGTTATTACTGGGTTATTTCTCAGACATAGGTAATGAATGCAAATTAATAATGTTGCTTGAGTTTGTCAGCGTTTGTTTCACTTGTAGTACAAGCCTTGTATTTATCTCAGGAAGTACCTGCTGGATGTAACACTTACTATTGGAGTCTTCCTAAGTAATAGACAACAGGTTTAGCAAACATTGCTGCTGGACTTTGTCAGGGTTTGTTAGTTTTGTTTTGTGTGTTTGTTTTGCTTACATATAGTAAGAGGAATGTTTTGGCCTTGTATGTATCTCACAAAATCCTTGGTAAGTGTTACCCATCATCGTTCTTTCTGGGTTCTTCCCACAGGGTAACAGAGGTGGATGCTCACTCACCCGTGGTTGACGATGTAGGTGATGATGGTGGTGAAGAGGCAGAGCAGCAGCACGGCTGTGCAGGTGTACATGGCTGGGTGCAGCACCTCCCCAGCACCTCGTGCCTCGCTGGGGAACCCGCTCAGCTCCTGCACGGCACAGCCCAGCCCATCAGACCCTGTGCCACCCACCCCTGTCCCCCCGCCTCACCCCATCACC